CGCTTCTCCGTGCAATGTGCACGTAATACGACATATATGGTGGACTTGACTGATAACACATGCACTTGTACGAGATTTCAGTTGGAGAGTTTTCCATGTGAGCATGCAGTTGCGATGACCATGTATCGAGACTTTACTGCGAGAACGTTATGCTCTCTGTATTATACGACTGAGTCTTGGAGAACAGCATATGTCGAGACTATATTTCCTCTGCCAAATGAAGCCGAGTGGGAAGTTCCCGGGCACATTCTCTCATTTCATAATTTGTTACCACCAGCAGTTGAACCACGTGGTCCTGGACGTCCAAGTACATCTAGAATACTATCTACCAGAGAGTTTCCTCGACTGCGTAGGTGTGGCCGGTGCAGAGCCGTAGGGCATACTCGATAATTTTGTACCAGTTAAATTCCCCTAAATGACGACTAGATAGGTACGTGAAATGAATAATATTTCCTTTTACTTTACACTGTTCAATATTTGTTATTTATAAATCTTCCATATTCAATATTTATTCTTGATAAATGGTATTTATAATGATTCATATGAAAAAAATAGTTCCATACTCGACATACATGTAAAATAAAAAAAAATAATTAAATTTCCAATTTGAATGTTATATACATTGAACACAAATTTACAATTATTTCATAATTACAAAAATAATTAAATTTACAATTGAAATGTTACATATATATAAATGAAATTTACGAATCATCATTAAATTCGAACAAATCACATGCTAGCTTCTTTCTCCAGTTCTGTATCCACGACTGGTTGATTCCATCAACCTTATGTCCTGTACTTAAAAATTCAACGTACTTAATGGCAAACATGCCGCAGTCGCCGCTGCAATTGAACAAGAATGAATCAGTTCAGTACTGTGTAAATAAAAACTAAATCTAAAAGATGAAAACAACAAAGTTCAAACACTTACCTTACGGACTGTCGCGCTGTCGTCGTGTTCCGAACGATCTGCAATCTGTCCTATACATTTATCCCCGCTCGTCTGGCCATCATAGGAACAATTATAGCCACGGACTCCAAGCTTTGCTCCAACTGGCCTTGTGTCAAACATGAATGATCCGTGTCGTACACATATATAGTCGAGTCAGCAAAAACAATCTCCAACGTAACATAGTGTTTATTGATGCACGCTGGAATGTACATATGTGTACAACCCTCCCATGATTTCCCCCCGACACTCGGTGACAGTCCTATCACCTACTCGAGTATATATTCTGGCACCGTGTACTTGTTAGCCATAAGTTCGAGCGACTGATACTCTATGGTAACGGCACCCAGGAACTCGGTGTTTAATATGACTTACCATGGACATCAAATGATTTTGGATGTCTTTGAGCTCGATCTCGCAGCAAGTCCATGGCCAGGTCAATGTGCTGCAGCTGAAAACACCAAAAAAGTATGAGTTATTCATTTAATAAACACAAGGTCACATATATATAAAAAACACGAAATGAATAGTTCACTTACATCGTCAGCGAGCCAAGCTCCCGCAGTGGTGATATTGTGGAACCACTTGTAAGGGTCCGAGACCGTTGTTTGACCTATCGTGCGGCTAACTCTGTAATAACAGGAAAATGTTAAAATAAACGTAGACGAGTTAGCGTACAGTGCTTTATTAAAATCATACAATACTTACCCGGGGATAATTCTCCTCCACTCTGTCTCGAACGTTTTTCACTTGGCATTGTCCACCTCTCTGAATAAGTTCGGGCACGTCCCATCGATAAACTTCCTCCTCTTGGCCTCAGCCGTAAAGGGGGAAACAACATACCGTAACGGAACTCTCAACCTCTTGCCGACCACTTGCTCTGTCTCGTCAACAGCATGTCTCTTACCCTCAATCACGCCGGGCGTCCTCTCGACCTCCGGGGCCACCTCCTTCGCCCCCCAATCGGGGCCTCCCCCTCCCCCTCCGTCACCACGTCCTCCCCTCCCGTCGGGCTCTCCCCCTCTGTCGCCACCTCCTCCGCCCCTCCCGTCGGGGCCACCCCCTCCGTAGTCCCCTCTCCCATCTCCATCGGGGCCACCCCTCCATAGACAACCACAATGACTCCAATGTCTCATCACGTCAAAAATGTGGGTGGCCCCCCTCTCCATCACCATCTCTGCCAACCTCTCGATCATGATCTCCACCATCCCGTCTGTACCCCATCGTCTGCCGGCTAAATCTCCTCTAAGCGCCGCTACTGTATCCTGAAAGTCGACAACGGAAGACTGTAGTATTCCAACATCATGGGATAGATCGTCAACCCTCCCTGTCAACTCTCGTCCCATATCATCGACCCTCCCTGTCAGATAGTCAACCTTTCTTACTAGATCGTCGACCCTCCCTGTCAACTCTCGTCCCAGATCATCGACCCTCCCCGTCAAATCTCGTCGTAGCGCACCGACCTCCTCCTCTATAAATCCAATCAAACAGGCATACAAATCATCACTATGCCCCGGAGACACACGGGGGAGGTGTCTGGATGGAGGTGATGCCAATGGCGGCGGCGATGGCCCCGGCGAAGGTGATGCCACTGGCGACGGTGATACCCTCGACGGAGGTGATGCCAATGGCGGGGACGATACTCTCGGCGGAGGTGATGCCAATAGTGTCGGCGATGCCCTCGACGGAGGTGATCATCGATTAGCTGGACCGCCCTCCTACATAAATAAAATGAAAAATTATTCAATAAATTTATATATCGACGATATTCAATAAATTATATTTCATTCACATACCCAATCTCGGTCCAAACTCGGACCAGACATCTTCTCATTTGGGGTGTGCGGAACGCCTAAATCCCACACAAGACCCCCAGCCTTCTCTTCCATCGACGGCGTCAACTCAGGTATGACTTCAAGCTGACATATTGACATTTCAACTACTTTAACGATCATGTAAACAAAATTTTAAACTACGTATAATATAAATCACAAATACATAATACTTACCTGAGGATCGTCGAGGAGGGCCGATAACTGCTTCCCAGTGGGACATCCCTCTGCTCGCGATGATCTCCAATGATGCATCTGAGGGCAGCGTGTCTTCCCTCGCTGCGCAAAGCGGGCCCCCAGTACAGGAACTGTTTCATACACCCAAATCTGTAACACATACACTTATTAAGCATCAATGTAATACACTAAAACTTTAACTTTGATTATATTAAACATTTACTTGCACCGCTAAGGACAATCTATATGTATCGTATTTATGCATCGACCCCCTGAGCCTCGAGTGCGATCTGGTGAACACATGTACGGTGTCTTCGTAGCATTTTAGGCCCCATGGATAGTTGTTGAACGCATCAATGTCGTCAACAACTTGCAAATGAAAAATGTCGATGGCAGTCTTCTTGTGATGACACCTCATCACACTTCGAGGATGTAGACCAGCCCAAGCTTCAATCTATCTAACATATGGTCGCACCCCCTGATCGCGACCATCAAGTTGGGTAGAAGCACCGACCCATGTCCCTGGAAGTACGTCTCGTACAGCCTATTGCTTCTCTCCATGGCTGCATCGTCGTTCGTAATTCTCAATCCAGTGATCAATGTAAACTCAAACATCGAGAAACTGACGACCTTGCCCCCGAGGTCTAACTGGAGGGAATCGCCGTCGACTGGCCTCAGAAGCCGACATAGAAGTGCATCAATGATCTGTCCTGAGTACTGCACCTCTCGCAACTGGTACAGTGGCCACAAGAAGGACTGTCGTAGCATATCTCCATGCTGATCATCGAGCAGCTCCAACATAGCAGTAAAACTCTCAAAGCTACTGTTCCAAGTAACTTTCCCCGACATCCGTATCAACTCTGCATCTAAATGATACTCCATCCTGCAAAAATTCAAATGTTATAACATTGAACAAGAAATAACAAAAGAAAGCATAATCTTACAAAATCAAGGGAACTGAACTCTAACTACCATACAATCACAAATATTACATTTGAATAATATATTTACAAAAAACAACAAATCAAATTAAATTTATTGTCAAAAAAATTAAAGAATATAAATATTATTTAAATAAATTGAAAAAAAATCAAAGATTTTCATAAAAAAACAATAAAAGGAACAAAACAAATTGTTAATTTCGAACAATATTATGTATTCAATTATTAAATTATATAAAAAAGGAAATTATAAAAATAAAATAATTATTATTTGGAAAATATATTTACAAACAAAAAATTTCAAATTCAATACATTTTCGAAAAATGTAAAGACTATTTATATTATTTTAGAATATTTCAATTATTAAATTATATAAAAGACAAATATAAAAATTAAATAAATAATTACTTTACCTTTTTTTAAAATGTAAAGACTATTCATATTATTTAAATAAATTTGAAAAAATAAATTAAAGATAATTTCATAAAAAAAAAGAATCAACATTTTTAATTTTACAATATTTCAATTATTATATTATATTGACAATGATAAAAATTAAATAAATAAATAACATAATTACTATTTAATCAAATAAAAAATTTAATCAATTACAAAAATTATAAAAAATAAATAAAAATTAAATATTTATAGTCTGGGTCGTTACAGTCAGTTGCAGCCGGGAACCGTCATTCCCGACGATTGAGGTCCAAAAAAGCAAAAAAATCACATTTTTCACACTCCAACATGTCCACAATCTAACTACTCATGCCCATGGATCTAATTAAACCGAAATTAGTAAGGAAAATGCTAATTTTACTAATTCAAAATTTTTTTTACTAAAACAAAAAGTGATGAAAACTAATCGATTATTTTATTTCCGATGTAGATGATGGTCGTTGACTGTGACGTTGATGTAGTTGCCGGTGGTTGATCGGTCAAATTTCTGGCGTCGATCGATCGGTCAGAATTTTTCAAACAGTTTGAAAGTTAAAATCACCTTTTACTGTGAAGTTTTTTTTTTAACTTAATTTTTTTTTAAAGTCAATGTAAAATTTTGCTACGTGGAAGAGCTTTGCTCAGTTATAAGTTGATCCGAGGTCAAAATCACCTCCAGCTTCCAGTAGCCATCCAAAACCCTGCATCGGAGGAATTCATAAACCGGTGAGATTCTCTATCGACGGACTGTTTAGAATCTGAAGCCAATGGGACTCGAATTTAGACGCCGAGACTACCGAGCCGAAGAGCAGTCCCACTCACTTCCGCGTGTCCCGGCCGAATCTCATCCTCTCTCCGCTCCCGCTCCTAATCCCTCTCCGTCGCCTCGCCAGGTCGACGCCATTTATGTTTGTACTTGTTCTGTTTAATTATATTCTTAATTGCATAATCTCAATGCCAATAACTTGTGATGGAATTATTTTTTGGAATTTAAGATATATGGTTGTACGTTTGAAGTTGATTTAGAACTTAGAATTATAGAATTATTGAAACGAATGAATAAAGAACGCTGCATAGGATCCTCTTGACTTTCCAGTCTATAACATGAAGATATAGGAGTAGATCAATGTTAGCTGAAATGTAATAATCATGATTATTTATGATTATTTTACCTTTTCTTATAAGGAGTTAAAATGATGAATTAGAAGGTAAATATTAGTTTCATTGCTTCATCTTTTCTTTTATGCGTATGAACATGTCAATCGTATATTGGTACATGATCAAAATTTGATACCCAGACTTGTGCATTCATCTAGCTTTTATGTTTAGCAATATTTTATCAATGATAATGTAGACTTTCATGTAGTCGGTTATAGATGGATGCATAGTTGATGATTTTGTATTACTATTAGCATATTAGCTCAATCAAAACAACTACATCTACTTATTTTACACTTTCTTATAGTTAGAGAACCTATTATGTTAAAATTTACAAGTGATGGTGAGTCATGTATATAACTACATTTATTTGTATGAATATGGTTATGTAACTAGTCCCCTGCTGCTCGATAGGAAGGTTGATGTAAGACAATTCTATTAAAAAGGATAGAAATTATTTATTGTAGCAGGATTTTTTCTTTCTTGTTTAGAATATGATTTCTTCGTTGTTTTTAGATATATATATATATACATATACATAGACACATGTACATGTACATGTACATATACATATACATATACACATGTACATGTATGTACATATACATATACATATATATATATATATATATATATATATATACATATGTATATATATATATATATGTATATATATATATTACATTGATCAGTATCAATGCACCATCTTCATGATCTCCTCCTCTTCTTGTTTCTTCAATTAGTCCAGTTGCAACCTGTATCCTATACT